GCGGGAAGGATTAGGCTGATAAATAGACAGAAAGTCAAATGTGACAATATCAGGTCATGAGCAGGAAAGACTACGTAGAATTATGCGAATTTATTCTAGCTCCTCACCAACTGCTGGCCATATCGTCATCTTCGATACAATACGATGATAACAGTACGTCTACCCTCCTTCCCTCAAGCAGAGGATTGCACTTTCTGTATAAAACTTTCTACGGCAAAACTGGTAGCACCGACAGAAAAACAAAATCAATCACCGCAATTACAATAACAAATTTGTAATAAACTTCAATGACTTATGCATGCGTCTAAAATGTAAATATTAGCTTCTTCAATAGATTTAATTCATCTAATGTATTCTATGATGGCTAAATGTTGAATAAAGCAGTACTGTCTGCAGAAAACGTGTTTTTCAGACAGACCACATTAACATTTTACTTGCAGAAAATTTAACAGACCTCCTGGATTCGGGTTTTGAAAGCAACATTTAAGTATTATAAAACAGTTCTGGTAGTACATTCACTAAGCAATGCCTCTCCCAGGTTTTCCCTGACGAACAATAAACACTGAATCCCATTTGCATAAATATTTATAAAGGAACTGGGAAAAATAAAGGATCAAAGGGGAGGTTAAGTTAGATTAAGTTGCTAGCAGCTGTAGCGAGCCTTCTGTTGCGACAGATCAGCGCAAATGAAACAACTTGTAGCCTAATCATTCCGAAAAAATTCGTATTGGGTTACTGCAGTTTTGCACTGATTGTATTGTTGTACTGCATTGTTATTATTATATGTTACTGGTGTATTGTACTGACTGTATTCGCATTGCAGTCCAGTGACAATCCAACGACAGTTACAACTGCTTTTCCGACAAGTAAAAATATTACGCATTCTGTCGGGGTTACTATCGCAAAAAACGTGTTTCAGTGGATATGCTTTAAGCATTAGTAACAAAATGAGCTCCACAATTTTCATCTAGTAATAAATAGTTGAGAAAACTAGGTTTAATATTTATTACCAATCGGGGAAGAACTTAGGGGAACTTTGTGTAATAAATACAAAACAAAACACCATTTCGACAGCTCGAATGTTGTGTACTAGACTCAGAGCCAAAAATTGAGTAAGTTTTAAGTTTATGCAGGTAAAAAAATTTATAAAAGTGGACAATCGTGCAAAAGGACATTTTTCCGCACATCATCGGGTGGTATAAAACATTCATTTTGGAAGAAAGCACCTTAAACGAACGACAAAACAAGGCAAAATAAAAAATTCATAGCTTATGGCATCTAAACAACATTTCAGATATTCATAAGTTTCATGAAAGAAAGGATATAAACGACTTTGAACGTCGGGGATATCTTTATCAGCGTTAATCCCCCGGTCACATCGACGTTTGTCTACCGCTCTCGGAAGGACAGTGGGTCACATTTAAGCGCGTCACTTTTCCAACGTATTATGGCTCCCACCGTGATATACCCAGGCAGTTCGCATCATTTTAGTAAACGAAACAAGATCTTGGCAGTTTTTTTCAGAAGCGCTACTTGGTATGTTTCAGCACAACATTATAAATGCGAGTACGACTATGGAAAATACGTTTATATGCCGTCAGTTTAGACCACTGACTTTCAGCAACCTAGGAGGCAATTTTTGATTTTATGCGTTTTTTGAAACATTACTAGTAATGAGCAACACTGCTCCAGCAAACAAGGTGATACGAGATACAACTGTCACTGAAGGTGCATCATGAAGTTGCGACCCGCGTAAATGATATCGATGCCCTCCTGGGGTAGAAAACAATATTATTCAATAAGCGGAATTACTGCGAACACACAACAGTCAATTTCATTACTGCTCTTGCTAAATTACGTAAATTTCCTGCTGACGCACAGTGTCAACCAGATAACCGTCGAAGTTTCGACCAGATATGAAAATTTTCCTATGGCTGTTTCAGAAAGGTATTCCATAACCTTAAACGCCATTTACTCTCAAACAAAAAAATAGATACACAGATAGAAGATACTATGACTAGCAAGCTTGTGCTTCTAGCTACTGCAAAATTTCCGCGAACCGCTACTGAAACTGCACTAAGGCCTGTAGAAGACTAGCTTGAAGTCTAATCTAAATGCTGTTTGTTACACTCTCTTTGAAACTAAATGTTGGCTAAAACAATAGGCAACTTTATTGTTCAAGCTTTCCTATTATTGCTCTCTGGTTGTAGAAACTTTCCCAGTTCATGGTCGAGGGCACCAAACAAGGCAGATGACAACATTCTACTGCCACGCGTTTCGCTACGCACGCCTTAGCATTGTCAGGAGGACACTGGACAGTAAACTACTGCACCCGAATTGCAACTAGTTGAAACCGTATCGAAACAAACCTAGGAAACGTTTGCCACACACCCCAGGTATCTGAACCAATCAGAAAATATCTCAACGACACGCGGTTAAGGGTCCACTACAAGACCGGCAAGAATCCGGAAATACTTTCATTCAAGAATTATACCCTGTGTAACCTGGAAGAAGTGCTGAATGTAGTCTACAGCGTCAAGTGCAGACTGCGATAAAATATACATCGGAAAGTCCTCCAGGAAACTGAATATCCGGATTAAGGAGCATTTATCAACAGT